ACCATGGCCTTATTTTCCAACTGCTGATCCTTCCTCTTTGTTTTCAGCCTTTGCATTGCAATCGCTAGTCCTCAATTTCAGACTGAAGAAGTTAGTAGAATTCTTCAATTTCATCCTCACTGGCTTTAGTGGTTGGTGTGTAAATTTGAATAATAGTGGTATTAACTGGTCTTCCTCGTAGACACATGGATATTATCCTATCACAGACAGCATTGTAACTCATGACAGATCTTGATATGTTCTTTCTAACGATGAATGTGACATCATTCCTCTTCAATTTGTCATTCCCAGCATAGTAAACCATGTGATTATCAGATTCAAAATGGTCAATATCAGTCCATTTCAGCTCACTAATACTAGGATTATCGATGTTTATGCATTCTCTTTCATTTTTGACAATTTCCAGTTTTTCTAGATTCATACTTCACACGTTCCACATTCCGATTGTTAATGGATGTCTCCATTATAGCAGTTTCTCTTCATTTTGACTTGTGCTCCATCAGTAAATGAGTGTCCTGAGGGCTTTACTCCATTTGCATCATCACAGTCAACTCTACTTTGAGGAGGCAGCTATTCCCCAGTCATATTTTGAGTGCCTTCATCCTCATTTTTCAGCAATATCTGATTATGTTTCCCTGATACTCATAAGGTTTTCAGTGACTCAATATTTGGAAGTAGTTCATCTCTCCTCCTTCTTAGACTGTCTTTGTCTAGAAGCTCAACTGAAACCTGTCTATCATGGGTAACCCTGCTGGTATTTAAAATACCTGCAGCATAGCTTCCAGAATCATAGCAATAACACAAGCCACCACAGTACAACAAACTGACAAACAAGTGGTGGCAGTGGATTTAATTTGGTTAAATGTTAAATGTTCCAAGCAATATAGTTTAAAAATACATAACCTTTTGTTCCTGGGCCTTGGACATATGAAATGGAAATGACTCTGTGACATTTTTCCCCCCAACTTAGTTTTCCTTTAGGAATTTCTCATAACTATTTATTAACATCGAGAGGAGCAAAATACCTATAAAAAAGGAAACTACAAAACACTAATACAAGAAACCAAACGAGATCTGCAGAAATGGAAGAATATACCCTACTCGTTGAGAAGACAACATTGTAAAACTGTCAACACTACCCAAAGCAATCTATGGATATAATGCTATCCCAAATCCAGATTTTAACATCATACTTTAAAGAGATGGAAAAACTAATCAATAACTTTATATGGAAAGGAAATAGACCCAGATAAGCATTATTAAAAAAAAAAACAAAAAAAAAAAAACGAAGTATAAGACCTCTCAGTTCTTTACCTCAAAATCTACTACATAGTCACAGTTGTCAAAACAGCTTGGTACTGGTACAACAAGAGGCATAGATCAATGGAACAGAATTGAGAATACCGAAGTAAATCCATCCACCTCTAGTCAGGTGATCTTCAACAAAGGGTCAAAGTACATTAAATGCAGAAGAAAATAGTCTCTTCAACAAATGGTGCTGGCAAAATTAGGAAGCCATTTGTAGAAAGATGAAAGAAGACCCATATCTCATACCATATATTAAAACAAACTCAATGTGGAGTAAAGACCTAAATATAAAGCCTAGAACTATAAAGATTATCAATGAAAAACAGGGACAAACTTAGGGATATATGGCATACATATATTGTCAATCATAACTGAAACCACACACAAAGAAGACAAAGATGACTGGGACCTTCTGAAAATTATACACTTATGTGCATCAAAGGATTTCACCTAAAGAGAATATACTAGAAGACTGGAAAAAAATGTTAGGCAATAACAAACACTTCAATGCCTCAACAAGAAAACAAATCTAATTAAAAATGGGCAAAGGATATGAACAGACACACTTTACCAAAGATGACCTTCAGAATGTCAGCGAACACATAAATGATCATGATCATTAGCCATGAGAGAGATACAAATCAAAACAACAGAAGACAATATATGCTGGTGGGGCTGTAAAACGGTATAACCACTGTGGAAAATGGTATGGTGCTCTCTCAAAAAGTTGGAAACAGACCATATGACCCAGCAAGTTCTCTACTTCGTATATATCCTGAAGACATAAGAGCTATGACATGAACAGATATATACACAACCTGTTCATTGCAGCACTATTCACAGCAGCAGAAAGATAGAGATAGCAATGTTGAAGAATAATGAATCTGCAAAACATCTCACATCATGGATGAACCTGGAGGACATGATGCTGAGTGAAATTAATACTACATAAACATTGTATGAGACAACTGTGCAAAAAGTAAAACAATTTTCTTGAATAAAAGATACATTCTATGATGGTTACATGGGGTTGGAGAGGAAAATTTTCAAGGGCTAGAGTGTAGACACATTAACATGGGTGATGGGTAGGCAATATACAAGAGTGAGAGGTTGGCCAAGGAAAGATAAAGGTAGCAAGAGACACATGCAAGAGTTAAAGTAAACAGAGGTAAATAGTGTTAACTTATGGTACGAAGCAAAGTTTATGATTTGTTGAAAGTGAATATAAACCCATATGATCTACACTGCAAACAGTCACTCAATTCACAATTTAAAAAAATTCATTTGAAAGAGGTTTGATTTCCCAAACAAGCAGAAAAATATTCAGGTAAAATACTTTGTCTAGTTACTGGCAAATGGTAAGAATTACACTTCCCATGTCTTAAATTCTTAAGGAAATAATGAAGTTATATACTGACAATTTAACTATTTTTATTAGATTCACTGAAATGTGTTCTAAACATCTACAATCATCTCCTTTTCCTCCCCTAAATTCATAAAGCAAAATTAAAGATAAAACTATAACCTTACACCTCTGTCTTCACTACTTTCTCTATGTCTCTTGATCCCTGTTGAAACTGCTGGCAGTCTTTCCTGTTTCCTTAGCAACTGTGCCATCAGTCAGTTGGGCTGGCAACACTCTGGTAAAGAGAAGAAAAACAAAGCATTTGGAATTTAATTTTTGAGGGTTCTTTTATTATGAGCTTTTGCATTTCACAAATTTTGCAATAAAAAAACCTATACAATCCTTATTTGCCAGCCAAATCATATCTTCTGTGCTGGTGGCTCTGAGAGAATTACTATCAGTATCCTGTAATGGCACAACAGATGGATCAAATCGCTGCAGCTGTTTCAATTGTTCAAATGATAGACTTGCTCCCATCATTCCTTCTCCTCCAATCTGTGGTTCCTGTTTAGAGAAAATGAATAAGGATGGATGAATGTCCTTGCAATTAGTAAGTGAGCCCGTGTACAATTTAGAAAGAGAAACTGGGTTGTATCTAATGTGTCCAAGTAACACATCTTCCAAAAGTAGAGAAATTAGTAAATACCTTTTATTTTTGTGGACTGCACATGCTGTTTTTCCAGGTAGTATTTTTTTTTCAAGTACGGCCACCTAGTGGACGAGTATCTACTATGTCATAAATGCTATCAAATATTGTTTGACTGTGAAAGGCCTGCGCATTCATATTAAGAAATTCATAGATTCAAATTGTAGCTCTGCTGTATTTTTGCTGTATGACCTTAAGTAACTTTACCTAATCCTGTTTTTCAGCTATAGAATACTTCATTCAGTCCTGAGACTTAAATTGGGTGCAATATTATGCCTGGTATTAGTGGGCACTGAGTAAATGGAACATTATCCTCACTACAGCAAAGGTAAAATTCAGCTTTCTCACACTCCCCTCAAAACTCTGACAGACTTTCCCTAAGCGTCTGTTCTACCTAAATGCCTCTATGACCCATACCAACTGAATGATGACATTTTTGGAAATGCTCTAGGAACAGTAAATATTAGGAAGGAATATACAAATTAATTCATCAATCTGTTTAGGGGAATACAGAAGCATAAGGAATTGAGTAATGCTTGCAAACCACTACTGTAAAAGATCCTAATTTTTATCTAATTCACCAGGAGTGTGGGGGATATGTGTAATTAATAAATATGTGTGTGTGTGTATATATATATGTTGTTATGTGCTGTGGAGTCGATTCCGACTCATAGTGACCCTGTACAGGGTTTCCGAGGCTGTAAATCTTTACGGGAGCAGAAAGCCTCATCTTTCTCCAGCGGAACAGCTGGTAGTTTCGAACTGCTGACCTTGCGGTTCACAGCCCGATATACTTATATAAATTATATACATTTGTATGTTTATGTATACATATGTTGTTGTTAAGTGCCGTCAAGTCGATTCCAACCCACAGCAACCCTGTATAGGGTTTCCAAGGAGCAACTGGTGAGCTTGAACCACTGACCTTGCAGTCTGATGCCTTAGCCCACAGCACCACACCAGGACTCATATCTGATAACCTAGTGGTTATGAGTCAGGCTGCTAAACTCAAGATCAGAAATTCAAAGTTACCAACAACTCCGTGGGAGAAGGATGAGGCTTTTTGCTCCCGTAAAGATTCATAGCCTCAGAAACTCTATGGAGGGTCACTATGAGTCAGAAGCAACTCCATAGCACATAACAAAACAACGGAATTTTTCCATGATTTTTTTTTTTTTTTTAAATCTTTCATTAACATATATACACACAAAATTCCAAGCAAATTCTGAAGTCTTCCCTTTAGCTACAATTATTTTTTAAAATTTTGGATCCAGAAACCATCTGATTGCTTTTTATTCATTAAATATTTGATACATATTAGAAATCTATACATTTAAACGTACTTTCCAACATAATAGGCCAAAAATATAATCCTAAAAGACCTTTTAATAAAAACCATACTGGAAAGTTAGACATTGCTAAGTAAAATAAGTATTTTGAATTATACATTATATAAACAACCCATAACAAAGCAATCATCCTGAATGATTGTTTTCCTTTTGGCTGGTCTTTTTCTATCGTAGAGTTATTAAAGCCTTGTTTGGCTTTTGATGTGACATGAGAGAAAAATGATCAACATTTTCTGCGTCAGAAAATATGGGACTAAAAACAACTTTCAGAAGCAAAGTTCTGAGCAACAAGTGGAATATATGCCTAATAAATTTTGTGGCATTTTAATACAAGGGCATGGAATTATTACAGGAGAAACTTTCTCAAGAAGTGCTATCCTCTATGAGTAGTCTAACTGGTTCTAATTAGAGGAACAGATTCTTGTTAAGATCTGTTTAAGAATTTTGCTTGCAAAATTTCTTTTTGCAACACTATCACCATACTTAATATCATATAGAGAAAACAAGCTACAGTCATGTGTTGCTTAACATCCACAATACATTCTTGAAAAAGGATATATGTCATTTATACATTATATAATCATCTTGAACAAGCTTCATGCTTTAAGGAGGATTCTGAAAGACTCACTATGGTGTGTAGTCCTCAGTTCATATCATTAGCAATTTCTCCAGGCCTCAAATACAACCCTCCTGCATTTTCATTACCCTTGGAGCTTACAGTGGAGTCAATCCTTTAACAGCTTGAAGAATTTTTCCTATGTTTTTGAGTATCATTGGGATTGATGAGTGTGACATGCCTAAATTTTGAACCATAGCATTCATTGAGTTTCCACCCTCTTGTTTAATAACCTTTTGTTTCATTTCCAAAGTGATACTTCTCCTTCTGTCTCTTGATGCTGCTGTCACTAACACTGATTTTGGTGCATTTGGGAGCTATGATGCACTTCATGGTAATATTTTTGAAAGAAAACTAAACAGAAGGAACACCACAACACTCAAGAGACACCTTATACGTAAGATTGGACACTGCTCCCTATGAGTTGAAGTGTGTACACTGTTAAATAATAAAACTTCTTAGACAGAAAGGACATACATAAGCCAGTAGCATAAGCTTCAATTATGACCACCAAGACAAAAATAGAGGTTATAAATGTAATATACGATATATACCTGGCACTACACTCCCTTTTTATACGAGACATGAGATACACTGCTGCTGTTTGTTGTTAGGTGAGATCATTATCAGATGTAACTCATAGTGAGCCTATGCACAACAGGAAAAAACCGCTGCCCAGTCCTACACCATTCTCACAAGTGTTACACACGAAATGAATCGGTGTTGCATACGGGTAGCTGTTGCACTTACTACGTCCCATTCTGATTACGATTTCTGAACAGTATTATAACATCTGTGTTGCCAGACATTGCCCAAATGGTTATGGGGCAAAAGAATGTCCTCTTACCTGGGACTGAAGCTGAAGGCAAGGAAATGTTCTGAGGGCCCAGGAAACTTGCTCCTCATTTTCTGCCAGTGTTATAGTGCATGTGCTATAAACCAGCACACCCCCTGGCTTCAGCAGTTGAACTGCCTAAAGAAAAGTAAAATGAGACATTTCACAAAACGTAATAAACATTAGAAGGGATTTTATAGCATAATATGTCACACAGTTCAAATGTTTGGGATGTAGGCTACTGTCTTTATAGTGATTTTAGGCACAACCTCAACCAGGACTCTGCTGCTTTCTGGCCTCTGACTGTAACCCTTTTATCCTTGCTTACTCTGCTTTAGAAATAACAGCTTCTGTGCTATTCCTGCAAACACAAGACACACTCCTATACAGGATCTTAGCTAGGAAAGCTGTCTATTGCCTGCATTCTTTCCTCCTTCATCATCTTCTTATCTTTAAGTGTCCCCTTTTCAGCAGTAACCCTCCCTGACCACTTTAGCAAAGCTGTCATTGTTCTAATGCAGCATTTCATCTCCATTCGTTTCTCCTTTCTTTAGCTTATTCCATAGGTCCACAGCATGATCACCTTATAACATACTAAATAACTTACACATTTGCTTATTTTACTACCCAGTTAGAACAAAAATTCCACCAGTGAAGGGCAGGGATTGCTTGTATATTTTCTTCACTACTATATGCGAAGCCTGTAGAACATGTCTTACGTGAGTATTTGTCAAATTAACAAATGAGTCAGAAATAAGGTGTTATACTAACATGAACGTGAATAAGTTTAACTTTTCAAATTCCCAAATTTTATTTTCATGAAGAATTTAATGAAAATCTTTACTTAGCCATAGTATGCCGAACAAATTTTAAACTTTGTTACTACTGGGTTAAACATTTTACATGGACTTTCTTAATAAATCCTTATAACACCAATGAGGTTATTCCCAATGAGATAGCTCTATGAGGTAGAGTTATTATCCCCACTTTGTCAATAGCCTTAAAGTCACTGTAGAGGCAGCAGAAAGCATTTTGCCCCACTACCAATATGACCATTACATTGAAACTCTACTAGACTCTGCAATCTAGGGGAAGCACCCCCACCCCAAATGCCTTAATGGTGAAGTATATGATTGACTATATAATTGCATGCTGCAAGATTTAATCTTATAGTCCTAAAAGAGAAAATGTTATTCTTTTCCTTTTTATCCAAAGCTGAGGATAATGACCACAACACTGTCACTTAGCCCTGTGCCTGGACTGTGTCAAATGACACCTCCCATTCTTATGTAGCCCAGCACATAAGCCCCTCTGGTCTAAGGTATATGAGACCTTTTGTCTTTAACCTACGGACACATCAAGGAGCAATGTGTGCATAAGGGGGAAGGTCTGTCATCTCACCCTAGGATAAGGGCCAAAGAAAGACCAATTGAAGATAAAATCTTACCCTGATTCTTTTCATCTCCATTACTGTGTAAGTAACAAAAGCTATGACCTCACCACTGAGTAATGTCAATTACTTGCTATTAAACTCACAGCCTTACATGAGCTCATTTTTCTTCTTGGTTCACACCTCAGTCACTTATGTGGAGAAGCCACTCAAATCAAGAGAGACCTGATTCAGACAGAAGTTGATGTTCTCAACCACTTTCTATCTCTGCTCTAGGCTCTCTCATATACTGTCAACTTTTCCTTTACACGGACATCAGTGCACATACTTCTACTAGCCTTTGGAATTTTTCTTTTTGCTACAGCCTAAAATGAAAAACTAAGACTCTAAAAACAATACCCTCCTTTGATCCACAAATCAAAATGTGTTTCAGCTAAAATTATAACTTTTTTGCAGCTCATTGCTTTAACTCTCAAAAGATGTTTTTTGAAGACATACTACATATGAGAAGAAAATGGTAATCTATTAGTACTATCTTTGTATATAAAAAGGAATGTACTCATTTTCTATATCCTATTTTGGTGAGTAGCAATGGAAAACTTCAGAGCTCATGAACAGCCATCTAAGGTACAACTACTGGTCTCTCATGTGGGGAGGAAAGAAGAGTGAAGGCAACTGAAGACACTTGGGATTAATTAGCCTAATGGACGAATGGAACATGTGAGCATCAGTCTTCATGATTCTGAAACCAGAAGAACTGGATGATGCCCAGCTACCACTACCAACTGTTTTGAAAGGGATCACATTAGAAGGTCCCAGATAGAGTGGCAGAATATGTGGAACAACACATCCAATTATAAAAATAAAATTGGGCTTATTGGTCAGAAAGAGACTGGAGGGACCTGAGACTATGGCCATTGTTCACTTTTCAGGTCTGGAACAGAACTCACCTTTGTGGCCCAATTTCTAGTGGTAGAGAAGGTATGCAGGGGCAAGGGGGCACAGCGACAACAACACTAGTAAGGTATACCCACTACAGAAAGGTTAACTGTTCAAGATCAAAGGGGAAACATTTACCTAAGGACAAAATTCAGAAGAGTTGGGAAGGAGGGTGGAATGTTAATAAGAATCACAGAGAGAAAGTGGGATAACTGTTGTTAACATGGAGGGAACTGCCAATCATTGAGATGAAACAAACATGATTTATTGAATATAAAAGTGATGATGTGCTCTGTAAACCTTTACTCCATTCACAATAAGAAGTTTTTATATATATATATATATATATATATACATACATATTCAAAGACAACTTTAGAGATGGAACAATTATATTGTTGTTAAGTGCTGTCAAGTCAATCCCATCTATACCATTTAAATCAACCTTGCAGTCTGGTGTTTATCCTACAGAACTACACCAGAACAGTTATATAGTATGTCCAATATTGCTAAAGCCCATCTATTTACAATTAGAGAACTGAGAGGAAATATTAAATTCATCTTTAATCAAATGTGGGCCCTACTCTGTGAAATCCACTGAGTCATTTTTCCAAACTAAGAAAAATCCACGTGTGTTCTATCTGTTTTTTTCTGATACAGATTGGAGAACAGTTCAATAGGTTTTTTAATAACCTAAATTGGCCAATGTGACCTTCCATTTTTATCAATGTATATTTATTTGCCTGTCTTGGACTTCTCCCTTCTAATTTGCTATCTGAGATAACCCAAGAAGAAATGTAATTAACCCTAAAGAAACAAAAGTAATTTTATTGTCTAGCCAATTCTTCACATCAACTACTAACTGTTGGAAAGTAGTTAAGATTTTTCTTTAAATATAGCAGTATCCTTTAAATCTATTAAATGTCACCGTGCAGAAAGTGTCCTAGTGCCTTTATACTTTAAAGGCACAGTTAACATTAAAGAAAGCTACCTGTATTTAAAGCTAGATCCTCTCAGTCTTTTAAAATAACGAACTTATGAAGATCAACTTCCTTAGCAGCAATGGATCATTACATACCACAGAAAAGAGCTTTCTCTGTAATGGTTGATATGATGTCACTTCCTTCAAAGTCCAAGTACAAGCCATATTTGGTCTCTGTCCCATCCCACTGCAAGGTGCATCAAGAAGAATTCGGTCAAAAGATTCCGGTAAGAATGGAGGTTTCCCTATAAAGAGAATTACAAATACATTTTCTATCTGCCCTATTAGTAAATAACAGAAATCTCTAAAGATAAAAGCAGTAACGGAGAATTTTATATCATATTTTGGAATAAAATGCAAAGAAAAGCAGTCTGTCCCTTCATTAAGTAGCTGGTTAAGCTAGTTCTGACTTAATACAGATTTTTATAAGAGGTTCAACATGTAGGTAAGATGATTTGGAATTTTGAGGTGATCTATTGCAAATCAAGGCCTAATCAAATGAGAAAGTGTATCCCCCAACTTCAGAAGCTATCATTAATCAGCACTATAAGCACTGGACTGCAACCTACACAGTCCAAGGGTATCATAAATCTAAATGTAACAACTAATAGTGAAAAATGAGACCTACTCCCACAAAGATTTAAAAGCCTCAGACATCCTAGACAGAGTAGCCATGAGTCGGAACAAACTCCATAGCATTGAACAACAACAAAATTATCTGTCTTGGAGTTAGTGCTTCCCTTGGTAATTCCTATTGCAGACAGCCCCAGAGACAGAAAGGAAGTCTGTATAGTGTTGAAACCCCATCACAGAGACCTCACCGAACTTCAAAGATAAAGGTGATGAAAAATTTTTTGTCTGCCAATTTTCCTTTCTCTGTCTGCGACCCACCACTCTGGTGGCAAGAGAGCGTGTCTGAGCAAGCAGACATCCCTCCCACTGCCTGAGGGTTCTACTGCGCACACGCACAAATCTGCTCAGTTGTGAACTATCTCCCATTATGAGAAAAACCTAGACTATTTTACTATGGTTTTATTTTTTGGGTTTTTCTCCCTCTTTTTAGAGTGGGCTCTTTCTTTCTCTATGTTACCAAAGAAGAGACAGCAATCACAGTCACATAGCCAAGCTATAAAATCCCACCATCCAGGTAAGAGCCAATACCAGCTGCTATATACCAGATATACACCAACTGCTATACACCAGACAACCAACACTTGCTACAGTTACTCTGAGCTGAGAAGTAAGAGGGGAAGCCCATTTGCTGATCACATCTACCTGGAGGCAATGAGAAAGCATAATAATACATCAAGATACACTCATCTACTTATTGAAATCACACCTAATATTGAAGATGCCCAAGAAACAGCTGACCATCTCAGCACATGTCCAGAAACAAGTAGAGTAACTGAGACAAATGAGCTGAAGGTAGACCTAGACTTCACACTGGAATGAGGGCAGGCTTTGGAACTACCTGAGAAAGAATTTATTAGAGTGATATTGAGGTGCATCTAAATGCTCAACAGAGGATTGAGAAAAACAAGAAGTCAGGAAAGTGCTGCAGGTACAATCAGATAAGATAGAAACAGCATTGGGAACAATTCAAAACCCGCAAAAAGAGGTCCAAACAATAATATATCAGTAATGTACAATACACTGAAAGGCCAAAGGAGTAGACTTGAAGAGATGGAAGCCAGAACCAGAAAGCTTGAAAGACAAATCTCTCAATATTGCTAAGATAGAAAAGCAAGCAGAAAAAGAATACAAAACTCTGAAGAAAATCTAAAATTCCTGTGGAACAAGATGAAGAGAAATAATCTAAGAGTTATCATATTCCTGGAATAGAAGGGAGCTCAGAAAACCACAAGAGTGACAGGTGAAAAGCTGGTGGAAGAAAAATTTCCAAACATCATGTAAAATGAAAAGATAAGCATTCAAGAAGCTGAACAAACCCCAGGAAGGGCAGACCACAAAAGAAAACCACCAAATCATATCACGATCAAGTGCTCCAAAATCAAAGACAAGGAGAGAATCCTGAAAGCAGCTAGGGAAAAGGGAAGTGTTACTTATAAGCTTTCAAGAGGGAGCGTAGATCCAGAGAGCATGGAGGAAGGTAAAATCTCCACTGAGTAGTATCCAATCTGTCTGGGAAGGGCTGATGAAAGGAGATGGGGATAGGTCTCTTGTGGTACAATAGTAAATAATGGCTATCAGGACTGTGAGGGTTAGAAATGTAAAGGTAGACGTTCTGTAGCAAAACGAGGGGAATGACTGACTTTGCAGTCCAGGAACAGAGGTCCCTGGGACCATCAAGGGAGAAGAGCACAGTGCAGGACCCTACCCAAAGAAACAGTGATGCAAGAGATGGAGGCAGAGACGATGACATGGAGAGATGGAGCAGCTAGGAACTCTAGACCCAGAGAGGTAGAGGGGCTGCATGCTGACAACCGAGGGGCAGGCTTGCAGGGTATATCCTTTGGTTGGTTGATGATGCATGGATGGGATTGTAACCATAGCAATGAAACGATATATGATAGGATGAATGTAAAGCTAATGTTCTCCCGTGTAAACAATCACATAATTCACAATAAAACACGTTAAAAGAGAAAAAAGCAAAGAAAATCAGATTAAGCTCTGATCTCTCAGCTGAAACAATGCAGGCAAGATGGCATGAAAGAAAAAACTGCCAACCAAGCTTCATCTACCCAGCAAAGATTTCAATCAAATACAATGGTGTAATAAAGCCATTCCCAGATAACCAGAAGCTAAGTGATTTTGCCAATGCCAACCCAGCGCTTCAAAACATCCTAAAGGCAGTTATTTGAACTGAGAACCAACAAGAACAGACAATAGCCAGAGATTGACATATGTGGCAACACCACCACAAATTCAATTGAAGATGACTGAGCTCAAAACAGAACAAAACTGTAAGAACGAATTTAGAGGATCTGGGGGGTCAGTCTATTATCAGAACAATTACAATGTGAAAGAAGGTAAAAACACAGGAACAGAGATCCAGGTGGTGAGGAGGTCAGGTAGATTACAGGATAAAACAGACTATTTTAAATGGAGGAAAAAGTCAATAGAATATAAGGTAACCTCAAAAAAATTAATACTTGATAATTTACCAAGAAAGTGAAAATCCAAAAAAACATGGAGATTTTAAAACTATGAAGAAACTGACTAGAAAGAACACAAAAACAAAACAAAACATAACAACAGCAATTAATTCATACCTATCGAAACAGGCTGCTAACTTCAACGTTGGCAGTTTGAAACTACCAGCTGTTTCGTGAGAGAAAAATGAGGCATTCTGCTCCCGTAAAGATTTACAGCCTCGGAAACCCTGTGCAGGGTCACTATGAGTCGGAATCAACTCGATGGTACTTAACAACATCATCAATAATTACAATGAATGAGAACGGATTAAAATGCACCAGTTAAAAGAAGAGCGTGGCAGACTAGGTAAGAAAACAAGATAGTTCATATGCTGTCTGCAAGAGACACACCTTACACACAAAGACAAAAAAAGACTAAAAATTAAAGGATGGAAAAAAATATATGAAGCTAATGACAAAAAATGAGCTGGAGTAGCAATGCTACTCTCTGATTAAATACACTTTAAGGCAAAAACCAGCATAATACATAAAGATGGACATTATCTCATGATTAAAGGGTCAATTGAACAAGATGACATAACCGTAATAAGTATCTATGCTCCCAATGAAAGAGCTCCAAAATATATAAAGTAACCTAACAGATTTGAAGAAATAGACAAATCTACAATAATAGTGGGAAATTTTAATACATCACTTTCAAAAAAGCATAGAAAGAAACTCGAAAAGGACACAGAGGAACTAAACAACACAACCAGTGAACTTGATCTCATAGATATGTACAGAGCATTCAACCCAACAACAGCACAATACACATTCTTTTCTTTGAGACCGTGGAGCAGGAAGGGAGAGGTGTGACTGATATTTCATCTTTCACTTTTCATTTTTCATGTTATCTCTCCTCTTCACCCCGATTGTACCCTCACTGCACAGCCCAGATGCCTTCAGGTGGAAGGGAACACACCATGAAAAGGGTCCAGCATTACACACAGTTTACCAATGGCACAGAAAGGAAACCCGCAGGCTGCTGCTCATGATGTTTGACCCTGGGAATCCGCCCCATAGTTTACCTAGACAGGACCCTTTTTGCACAGCAAAGGCCAGTGAACAGTGTCAATCACAATTTTACTTTTGTTTCTGATTGGTGCTTTCTGTCTCTGTTTTTATACTGTTTGTGTCTTTGGTCCTTTTGGCCTCTCTTCTTCCAGGGTTGGGAACTTTCTCTTCCTACCTTACCCAAGAAAAGACAGCAATTGTGCCCATATAGCCAAGCTACAAGCATACCCTGTAGTACCCCACCATCTGGACAAGAGCCAAAACCAGCTGCTAGTCATTACATGGGAAACAGGAAGCCTATCTCCAGATCATATCCACCAGGAGATACTCAGCAAGCTTAACAAAAAGCAACATACATCCATTTAAGCATTAAAAACTCACATAACTGTTGAAAATGTCCAAGAAAACACACTTAAAAATACCAACACATGTCTAAAACCAGAAAAAAGTAACTGAGACAAATGAACTGGAAGCAGACACAGACATTCCAGTAGAAGAGCAGGCTCTGGATCTTCCTGAGAACGCATTTAGAAGAATAATAGGGAAACAAATTCAAATGTTCCTAAAAGGGGTGGATAAAAATAAGGAAGTCATCAGGAAAGTGCTATAGGAGCAATCAAACGAGAACTGCAAACAATCCAAAACCTGCAAAAAGAAATCCAGATGACTAATAGTAAAATATCAGAAATGGACAATACACTGAAAGGGGCAGAAGGGAAGAAACGGAAGGCAGAACCAGTGAGCTGGAAGACAAATCTCTCAATACTGCTAAGAGAGGGAACCAAGCAGAAAAAAGGATTTAAAAAATCTGAAGAGAGTCTAAGATTCATGGTGGATAACATTCAAGTTGGATAACATGAAGAGGAATAACTTAAAAATTATTGGCATTCCAGAACAGAAAAAATCAAAAAGTCCACAGAAGAGATAACTGAAGAGCTACTGGAAGAAGATTTCCCTAAATCTTGAAGGACGAGAAGATAAACATTCAAGAAGCTGAAAGAACCCTAGGAAGGACAGACCCCAAAAGGCAATCACTGAGACATATCATAATCAAGCTCTCCAAAATCAAAGACAAG